AACTTTGCTAACTCCTGCTTAAACCAAATATTCATCTAGCTTGAGGAAAACATGAAAGGAGAGAATAATATATAAAGAGAAAGAAAATGGAGAGAGAGTGTGTGTGGGTGTGTGGTTCAAAAATGAAAGGAAATGAATGAGTGGACTAAAATAAAGCCATCCCTCTTGGCTTCTAGAATCCTCTAAGTTAATGGTCCAAGAAACCCAAATGGCAACAATGCCATCAAACATTCTTATAACCTTAACAATGCCATATAATATCCTTTCTCACTCAACCACACTAATGATCACATATATACATGTGAATATATAATCACACACTAACAACCATATATATATAAATATGTAAATAATCACCGCATAAATAAAATTCTCAAGGGAAAACAAACAAATAGATGGAACATTAAGGAGGAAAATATCAGGACCCACACGATGCGTAAATCGAGACGCATCAAAGAATAATAAAAATGAAATAATCGAAAAAATACTAAACGTTACAAATAATCTCGTGATCTCAAGGTTATCAAAGTCATAATCCTGGATCATAGAATCACACGATTCTACCATCCCACAACTCAGAAACGAGTCAACTCGTATAAAAATCATAAATATGCTGAGAATCAAAATAGAATCCCTAGAATCGGTTGGAGAATCGCACGATTCTAACTTATCCCTTATTAGGCTAATTTTTCAGCCTTATTCACTGTGTTTTTTAGTGTTGGGGTTCTTAAAAAAGAAAGGCCGAAGTTGCACAATTAAAAGTAGGGCAATTCCTGTTTGCAGGTCATAATTGTATCGTGTCGGCCTTAGGGTATTTTACTAAATAGGTCAATCCGAACACAACCCGCTTAATAATCGTGTCAAGAACTCTCAACACTAACTCGACCTATTTATTAAACATGTTACACGTGTAAACCATATAATGACCTATTTACTAAAAAAAAAAAACATTATATTATTTAAATTATTAATAATACTTAATCAAACAATAAATATTAAAAACATATAAGTTTCAATCCAACCAAATTACTAAGGGCCTATTTGGTGGTTGCTTCTACCACATGTTTTTTTGCTTTGGGCCAGTTACTATAGCGAAATTCTAGCCCAAAGCATATTTGGTGAAAACTGCTACGCTTCTAAACGATGTTGAAACACTTCCGAAAATGGGCCTATTTTTAAAAGCATCAAAATGATGCTTCTTGTTGCTTCCAGAACTATAGTGGTAAAATGCTTCCTGCACTATAGCCCATTAGTGGAAACATTGGGCCCAAAATACTTGAAGCAATTATTCAATATCCAGCCACAAATGTTAAAAGCAAATGAGAGCAAACCCTAGGGCGATTTAGAGGCGATTCCACTGTGCACCGAGCTTCAACCATCCCGTCGCTACAAACGATGTTCTTGCAGGATCTGATCGGTAAATATAATCCTCTTCTTCTTCATCTTGATGGTAATTTTTTCCTATTTCGTGTTGGTTTTTTTGCTTGGATCTGAAACCCTAGTGCTGAAGGTTTCAGTTTTGTTACTTGGATGAGTTTTTTGTCAAGTTGTGTAACATTTTGGGTCAACTTTGTGCTTAGATCTGGAAACCGTACTTCGAAAATTCAAGTTTTGTCACTTTGATTCAGATTTTACTATCTTGTGTCTTATTTTTGGTTGAATTTGTGCTTGGATTTGAAAATCGTACTTCGGTATTTCAAGTTTCTTACTTCGTTTCATTTTTTATTATGGTGTGTATAATTTTGGGTTTATTTCTGTCTTGGATTTGGAAACCCTTCTTCTAAAAAATCTTTTTTAATACTTTGATTCAATTTTGTTTTATGTTGTATATAACTTTGGGTCTATTTGTGTCTTCGATTTGGATACCCTATTTCTGAAATGAAATTTCAACTGTTTTTAACATTTTTGTCACTTCAATAAAATTTTTTATGTTTGTGTTGAGTTGTTCATTTATAGAGTATGAGTGTTGCAGTGGCATGACGTTATCACTAGCCTTTAATTTGTCCTAAAAGTAAGAATTTCAACACTACTTCTGAATTTACAGATTTGTGTTGGATAAATTTTTGTTTTATGCAGTGTATAAATTTGGTTTTTTTTTTTTTTTTGTCTTTCATTTTTCTGAATTTACAGATTGGTTACTTCGATTCATTTTTTATATGTTGTGTCTAATGATCTTGTTTGTGTTGAAATTACAGATTGGTTAGTTCGATTCAACTTGCAAATTTTTTTTATGTAAAAATCTTTTGTCATTGGTTACTGAAACTCAGTTTTTGTGTACAACAAAATGCAAACTTAATTGAAATCCAATTGATATATTTGTTAAAACTGTTTATCAAGCTACCTATATGCAAACTGACTTCCAACTTAACTGGTTTTGATTTAAAAATCTTTTCTTTCCCGGTAAGAGTTATAATATATCTTCATATACTTTTTATTTGTATTGAACCTGAGTTTTTGTGTATAAATGTATGAAAATTGAATTGAAACTGATTGATCAAATTGTAAAATTGTGTATCATGCTACGTATATGCAAAGTGACTTTCAACTTGTAACTTTTTTTCATTTAAAAATATATTGTCATTGATTACTGAATGTCAATTTTTTTTGTAGAACTATATGCAAACTGAATTGATACCTAATTGATCTAGTTGTTTACACTTTTAAATGGTTTACAACACAGTCATTTTTCATGTCAATATTTGTAGACTAGATGCGGCTACATGCTTTATACTTTGAACTTTGTCTATTATGGAATTTCATAAACATGTTAAAAATGTCGAGTAAAGTTTTCAGACCCATTCCCTGCTGATGGCTGTGATTGGCATGGTGTTGCCTTGGATAATTTTATTTAAAGAAGGGAAATATATTAACACCCAAATTTATGCGATTAAGTATCAGTAGGATTGGTTAGCAGTCTCATGAAAGCACACAAATCCGAGATTGGGTGTTATAGTGTTGGGGTCCTAGCCAAGCTATACTTGCAGTTTGATGATATTATCAAATTTTCGTATCTACATACCTTGAAGCTAAAGGACTGTGTGTGCATATATGTGTGTGTAGTGTGGTTATCTATGAAGTATGTTCGAATCTTTTCTTTTCTTTTCTTTTCTTTCTTTCTTCTTTCTTTCTTTCATTCTTTTTCTTTTTCTTTCTTTTTTTTTTCTTTTTTATTTTCTTATTTTTATTTTTTTTTATGACAAGTAAGTATGTTTGAATCATATAATCATGTCATTTTTGTTTTGTGGGCTAGATATATGAGGAATGATCCTTCTTTCATAAGAAATTGGAATGTGCTAGACTTGAGCTTGATCTTCTTATTGTATGCATAAGTTGTTTGCATTTTGGAATTCCTTCCCTAGGCATTTTGTCTCGTTTAATTGGAACATGGAAACGGGTTGATCTCTCATTTTATATTAGGTGAATGTCTTTTGATATGTGATTTAACTTTTTACTAGCTTTCACGTGCTTGACGAAGCAGAAAGATCTTGCATGATGCATTGTGTGTGCTTTCCCAGACTGTAAATGACAGCAGGGTTTTGCTTGGTGGTGGATGGCCTGAGATGGCGATGGCAAAGGAAATGGACGAGCTTGCCCGGAAGACTCCTTATATACCATATACTCATTCTATAATTTTTATTGCCATACAATAACAAATATATATATAATTTTTATTGTATTAACTTCATATATAAATGTTTTAGTATAGTATATTGTAAATGTTCAACAAGGAATTTGGAACTTTTATTTCAAGACACTCATGATAACTTTACTGTGATTAGATGATGTGTTTTCCCCGGGATTGTTTATGGGGAGGATTTATGGCTATCTTTTGTTAACATTGTTCATGCATGTCTTAAGATGATGGGTTGGATGCAATTATTTCAACACTACACTTGTCCAAATCTTGATTTATACATGGTGTGATATGGATGAAAATGTCTTGTTTTATTGTGCAGGTGACAAATAGGTTCAAATATTTTAAATAGAAATAATACGGATAAAAAAAGTTTCAAGAGGTTGGAAGGAATCACTTATGCATGGTGTCATATATATGAAAATGCATTTTTCTCCTTATTCAACTCTCTATCTCTCTCTATCACACACACACCTCATCATCTGAGCTATGAAGAAATGAATTTTTTTTTTTCCAAATTCTCAATTTTCTGTCTCATTTCCTTTATTTTTTAAAGATAAAAGTAATACTACTCATATAAAGTTTGAACTTCATTTTTCATTAATGTAAATTGGATTTATATATACTACACACTTCTCTTTTGCAATTTTTTTTAGTTGTTGAATTACATTTTTACAAATTTTTGATATTAAGATAATTTAATATTATTATAAATAATTTAAAATAATAAAATACATGAATACAAACCATTATTGCCAAAAATATATTTTCACAATACTGACGTTACCAAATATGTTTTCATTTTTTTTGCTTCCGAAGCATGGACGTTACCAAATATGTTTTTATGTTTTTGCTTCCGAAACATGGACGTTATCAAACATATTTTCATGTTTTTGCTTCTGAAACATGGACTTTACCAAACATGTTTTTATGTTTTCGCTTTCTAAAATTTTACAACAAATAGACGTTACCAAACAAGTTTCAAAACAGTATTCAACACACTCTAAAAACAAAAACATTGATTCTGCTTTGGGTCAAATTAAAAGTACGAAGCAACTGTGGTTGCCAAACGGGCTCTAAATAGTTTTTAATTTATAAAAGAGTAAATTATAAAATATAAATTTAAATAGTCATTTTGATACTTAGATATAAATTTGTTTATAACAAAAATAGTTAAATGTATTATACCGGTTATGTGTTATACCGGTAAAATCCTTTAATCTAAATATTTTATGTTGACTCATTTATAATCAAACCTGTTTAAAATTAATCTAAATTTGTTTAATTTGTGTCTTGTTGTGTCGGGTTATGTCAAATTAGAAGTTCTGTTAAAACTTTGTAAAAGAATTGTTTAACGTATCATCGCCATGGATATGTTGATGGCCCTACTACATATTTTAACTTCGAAGTTAAAAAGCAAAATGGTAAAGTAAGGCAAAAACTTAGGGCTTAATTGCGACGGTGGTGTGTTCGATTTGGGGGCTCTCCGGCGACCAGGTGAGCTCTTTTTATCTTCTTCTTCCGTCTTCTTTTTTTTTTTCCTCTTCTTCTTCTTCTTCTTCTTCTTCCTCTTCTTTTCTTCTCTTTCCCTCTCTTCTTCTTCTTCTCTAATTTTTTTCCTTCTGCTGTTCTCGCTTCTCTCTCTCTCTGACTACTACTTTTTTTGGCTTTAGTTTTTCTTCTGGCTGTTTTTTTTGTTCTCTCTCTGTCTCTTTCTTCTTATTCTCTCTCCCCCTCCTTCATCTTCTTCCGGTGTAATTTCTTTTTTGCTTTCTGCTCTTTTTTTATTCTTCTGCTCTGTTTTCTTTTTATTCTGCTCTGTTTATTTATTTATTATTATTATTATTATTATTATTTTTAATCTGTGCTTCAGTGCTTTACTGCTTCCCTAATTACTAATAATTAGTATAATACATGTTTTAAATATAATGCATGATTTTTTCATCGTGAAAATACCTCCTGATTAACAAGTAAGTTAAATAAAAGAGGCACCCTCCTATTCATTAACCATAGTTGCTATAGAGCCATGGATGCTATTTTAGCTATGAAGATGCCTGCTATTTTTTTCCTATGAAAATATCTGCTATTTTTTTCCTTAATACATTTTTTGTTTTTTTACTGGTTGGTAGAATCTTCTGCAATTCCGATTCTATGGAACCCAAAACGATCCAACTTAGAATCCTGATTTTAACAACCTTATGTGATCTCACCTCAACCAGTAGGTAGTAACAACTAACAAGATTAAATCAGTGAGTGAAAAGTTATCAGCAGATAACAAAAATATTTGTGTACATGTTCTTTTGGTTCAAAGACAATTCAAAATTATACAAGTTAACAAGAATACCAAATATTGGGTTATGTATATACATATATATAAATTTTTTTCCTGGGCTAATTGATGTATATTAGTTGCTTGAATCTTACTAAGTGTTGTTTTGAACTTCACTTCTGCTTTGAACTTTATTTTGCTGATATAAATTACAATTTTTTTTTTTTTTTTTTTTTGTTTTCTTCTATGATGCTTAACGGTTGTCTTGGTCATATATTAGTGGATGAAACTAAACATGCTTTGTAAACTTGAATGAAGTTGAAATGTAGGATAGGGTATGATTCTTTAAACCGTACATTCTACTTGATTATTGGTCCATACTTATCAACCAATTGCCTAATAGATGACAAGTTGGATAATCTATATTAGGTTGTTCATCTAATTGGTTGGATATTGAATTAGAGCAGAACATGTTACACGTGTAGGTTCTTAAAGATCTTGACTAGGTTTGAGGTGCTTTTCTTTTATTGGTGGCTATTGTATGTTCGAGGTCCTTCCTTTCCTTGGAGGGTGGTTTGGTGCGCCAAAGCTCCACTCAAGGTCGTCTTTTTGGATGAATGGTTTTGTAGATGGAGGATTTTGTAGATGGTATGAGAGCGTAGGTATTTTTTGGTTGGTTGACATTATAGTATCTCTTGTACATATGTTCCTTTGGACACACTCCCCTTTTGATTGCTTTTACTGAAATTTTACTTATCAAAAAATAAGTAGGGAGTGCCTCCTAACTAGAGTATGGAGCCTCACAGGTTAGTATTTTCTAAATTTTAGTAGCTACAGTTTCAAAGTGAACATTTTTTTGCACAACTAAAACATACCTAATTATAATAATCTTAAAGAAGGGCGAAAAAGAAAGGCCTTTGTGCTATTCTGTTCTTTTTTTTTTTTTGATATATTTATTGTGGTTGTTGCATTAGGTTGGGTTGACCTATGGACCATCCACCTTGGCCCCAAGTTGAGAAATTTTTACATGAGTTAGTTATAGTAACTATATGTGCATATGTACATGTATATTGGCATGTTGAAAATTTAAAACCTAACAGGTGTATATAGAGGGACACACTCTTTGGGTTTTGTAAACTCTCTCTCTCTCTCTCTATATATATATATATATTTCTCATGAGTGCTCTCCAGGATGAAATATGCAGACTTATTGATGCAATTAATTAATAATTTCTCTAGTCAGGATTGAGTCAGTCAATATTGTCTTGAAAAGTGTCTAGTCATAGTCTATTTAGGAGTAATTATGGTATGGGAAATCTGAAACTGTCCTGGGAATAGCAGAAGTTGTCATTAAAGCTTTGTGGGTATTTTGAAAGTCATTCTAGTGAAAGTAAGTGTCACTAATAGTTTTATTATAAAAAGGGGCAGCCCTATGTATATGCGGAACCAAGTTTTAATCAATATAATTTTGAATATCATCAGTTTATAAACTTCCCTTTAGGCTTTTCCCATATTTTCCTTTAGAAATCTAGGCTTCGACGGTGATTAGAGTATTTCTAGTCTTTCTTACTACTGTAAGAAGACTTGTGTTTTTTCTCTTTGCTTCAAGTGGTATTAGAGCCTTCTGGAAAGATCTGTGATTATCATGGATTTATGGCTAGGCAAGGAAGCAAGATAGCCACAAAAGAAGACGGTCAAAGTCTTTCGCATCAAATTTCTCAAATGAGCACTGTATTAGAACAAAATGGAATCATTTCTCCTTAGAATCTGGACATTGGGAGATGAAGTGAGCGAATGGATGAATATCAATGTGAAAATTGGGTGAGACAGCCTGCTGAAGAGAGATTTCAGTGCCTTATGCATTGGAGAAATGCAAAACAGAGTGCTGCCAAATCAGTTATACAGTCGTAGAATACTTGGACAGCAATGGTGAATGATACCAAGGAGTCTGAATTTTGGTGCTTCAGACACGGGGAGCTGAGATGCAAATCTGCCATGTGTCCAATAACCTTAGATAATCACATGATCAATGCAAAACAATTTTTGCTCGAGGAAGATGCTGGAAATGATGTTGATTTTGAGAATGCAAAATCGGCTTGGGATGAACTTACCGGATAGGAAGATGAAGAATGTGAAATACAGGAGGAAAATTCAACTTTCTCGCTTCCAGAATTTGACAACAATGAAGAGGAAAATGAAGGAAAAAAGAATGTGGAAGAGGAGAAGTCTGAAGAAGCAACCAACAACACGTCAGAAGCTAAGACAACCATCATCATTCAATATGCATATTGTGGATTTGAGGTGAGAAAGAGGAAACCATTGAAGAAATTGAAGCAAATATCTCAAGTTGATTCCCAAGTAGAAAAAATTTCAGAACTTTCATGCATTAACAGACAAATAGGTGAATATTTCGAAGATAAGATCGTTGAATATTGGTAAAGGGTGCATTAGAAAGAACATCAGAAGAAGATTAGTTGAATAATTTGGTTAGAAATGAATATTCTTTCTTCATGGAGTTAAGTAATCATGAATTCTATATTAGTGATCTGATTGGGGATGAATTCTTGACGCAACATCCAATGCAAATAACAAATTAATTCAACTTTTGTTCCTGATCACTGTTCAAGTAGGTTTTGGAAATCTACTAAACTTCAAAAGAGAGCTCTGAAAATTTGTGCAAAGGTATTCTTTGTTATTAGCTGAATATTAGTGTGTTTGGTTAGAGTACGGAAAAGAAGAAAGAATGGATGGAAGGCTTTCCTCGGGTTCTTCTTTGATCGTGGTAAATTGTTTCAAACTTGAGGGCGAGTTTTCTTCAAGGAGGAGGGTCTGATCCAAATCATTAATGGTACTTTTGTCAGGATTGAGGCAGTCAATGGTGCCTTGAAAGGTGTCTGGTCAAAGTCTATAATGTCTATATAGTAGTAATTATGGTATAGGAAAAGTGTCTAGTCAAAGTCTATAACATCAATTTAGTTGTAATTATGGTATAGGAAATTTGAAACTGTCCTGGGAATAGCAGAAGTTGTCATTAAAGCTTTGTGGGTATTTTGAAAGTCATTCTAGGGAAAGTAAGTGTCATTAATAGTCTTATTATAAAAAGGGACAGCCCTATGTATCTGCAGAACCAAGTCTTAATCAATATAATTTTGAATATTATCAGTTTATAAACTTCTCTTCAGGTTTTTCCAGATGTCCCTTTAGAAATCTAGGCTCCTATGGTGATTGGTGTATTTCTAGTCTTTCTTTGTACTGTAAGAAGACACGTGTTTTTTCTGTATGTTTCACTTATGATGCTGAGACTAGTGTTTTGTTTTTCTGAAATAAATCTTTAAGTCACTATGCCATTGATTTTTCTAGGAAGAGAAATGAAGGATATAAAAGGAAAGTAAAATGTTTTAACTTTGGGTTATTTTCAAAGCATTTCTTCATATGCTTTAAAGCATATCTTCTCATTCTTGTGGGGTGTTGAGGAGTTCTGTGGGGGTGGAGAATATTTGTATGTTGTCGGATTTTTAGAGATTGTCACCGGTGCTTGAGGTGGAGAAGGGGGATTGCCCGAAAGAGAAGAGTGGGGATGTTTCTATTTTTTCTGGGTCTTCGGGGATGTTAGCCTGTGTTTTAGTGAACACTACCACTAATGTGGAAGGCTGTGATGGAGTCACGGTTTGTGTGGGACGTGATTTTCAGTTCCAATTGAGTGATGAGTCAGCCACTATTCTGGTCAGGGAGCTTCAGTTACATAAAGCATTGAAAGGGTTCAATTGCCTTTTGGTTGATGGGTCGGAAGAGAAGGGTGATGGTTTTGACGGGGACTTTGGTATCCCTTTGGCTGACAGTAGATCGTCAGCTTCCGTTTGGATGGTTGGGACAGATTGCCGGGTTCTTCGGTGGATGGGGATATGGGGATTGTTCCATGGGAATGGTGTGAGGTTTCGGTTGATGGCCTAATTGTTCCTTTGGCAGTGGTGGGTCCTGAGGGGGAGAGGGATGAATCATTTGCCAGTGGGGGAGGGGAAGGTGGGGTTGATGGGAAATGTAGGGAGGTGTGTTGAGGGATAATGCTGGATTTTTGGGCAACCTCATTGGAGTGACTTATGAAAGTGAGAACGTTAAGGCAGTGGGAATGTTTCATGAAGTCAACAAGAGTAAGAAGGTGGGAGAAAGGGAAGGACTCCCTCTGAAAAAGAGGAGAGGGAGGTTTGGAACCTTATTTCTGATATCAATTATGAAGGGAAGATTGGGGTGTCAAGAGAGAGGGGTAGAAGGAAGAGGAGTGGGAATGATATCTCAATTGTCTGCTCACGAAGTTTCACATTATTTTGTGTAATGTTTGTGGTTTCAATGACCCGGAGAAAAGGAAGGTGGTGAAGTTGGTGGTTTGTAAGTGGGGTGTTCATGTGGTGTGTTTGCAAGAAACGAAACTCACCTCGATTTTTGATAGAGTGGTAGGAAGTCTTTGGGGTCGAAGATATGTGGATTTGGTGGCTTTGGATGATGTGGGTACTTTAGGGGGCATTCTTGTGTTGTGGGACAAAAGATTGGTGTCCAAGTTGGATGTGTGGGTTAGGAAATTCTGTGTGTCTTATGTGTTCTCCATGGAAGAGGGTGGCTTCCATTGGATTTTTTTCGGTGTTTATTGCCCTATTGAGGATGACCTCCAGCATTGTTGTGAGAGGAATTTGGTTCAGTTCGAAGGAGATGGCCTTCTCCTTGGTGTGTTAGAGGGGACTTTGACGTTATACGTTTCCCATCAAAGAGGTTAACCCGCCCGGGTGCCCCGCCTTGGGGGGGGTGGGGGTGCCGCCGCCGCTATGGAGTAGTTTTTAGTGTTTATTGACAATTACTGATTGGTTTTCCATTGGAGGGAGTTCTTTCACTTCATTTAGCGGCAGATTATCTCCCATCCTGGACAAATTTCTTTTATCTGTAGATTGGGAGGAGAAATTTTCGGATGTGGTTCAGGCGGTGTTGCCTAGACCAACTTTGGATCATACTCCGTTTGTTTTGGATTGTGGTGGGTTGCAGAAAAGGAGCTCCCCTTGTAGATTTGAAAAGATGTGGGCTTCGAGCAGTGAGATTGGTGGTAGGGCTATGGGGTGAGTGGCATTTCGAGTTTTACCCTTTCGGTAAATTGTGGTTTTTGAAGGAAGATATCTAAAGATGGAATAAAGAGGTGTTTGGGAATTTGGAATGGCGGGAGAATCGAACTTTTTTCCTAGATTGTAGAGATTGATCACAAGGAGGGGTTGGGTGACCTTATGGAGGCATTCAAGAGTAGGAGTTTGGAGTGCGAGGCGAATATTGGTGAGATTGCCACCTTGGAGGAGATTTCGTGGAGACAGTAGAGCCTTGTGGCTTAAGGAGGGGTTAGAAACACGAGGTTCTTCCATGGGCTTGTGAATGGCCATCGGATGGGCAACCATATTGGGAGGATTTAGGTTAAGGGAGGTGTTGTGCAAGGATGAGGTGTGTAGGGGGTTGCCTCTTTTTTATCAGAAGTTGTTTACATAGGTGTATAGGCGTCTAGTTGGAGACCTTTGATTCGGGGGGGCTTCGCAGATTTTGACAGTTTGGAGAGGCCTTTTTCTAAAGAGGAAGTGCTGACGGCGTTGAAGAGCTGTAATGGGAATAAAACCCTAGGTCCAAATGGTTTCTCTATGAGATTCCATTGAGAGCTGGGAGGTGGTTAAGGGGGAGGTTATGAGTACTTATCATGCTTTTTCATTCCCAGGGTCGCTTTGAAAAAAGACTGAATGCCACTTTCATTGCTCTCATTCCCAAGAGGAAGGGGGGGGGGGGGGGGGGGTGAGACATATGATGTTAGGGACTTTAGACCTATTAGTTTGGTGGGAAGCATTTATAAACTATTAGTTAAGGTCCTTTCTTTGAGATTGAGGGAAATCATGGATCATGGATGGGGTCATTTCGAAATCGCAAATCGCATTTGTTGGAGGCCAACATATTTTAGATTCAATTCTTATTGCAAGTGAGTGCGTTGACTCTAGGTTGTGTAGTGGGATTTCAGGGATTTTATATGATGGTTTTTGAGATGGAGGTGAACTGAGTTCTGCATTTGCAGTGTTCGTTTCTCGGTCCTGGTTAACGGAGCTCCGACGGGTTTCTTCAATAGCTTAAGGGGTCTGAGGTAGGGGGATCAACTCTCTTCCTTTATGTTTCTCATTGTGATGGCGTCTCTCAACACATTGATGAGGAGGGTTGTGGACTTGGGTTTTTTTGAGAGGTTTTAGGGTGGGTAGAGATTCTACTAGTCAGTTGGAGATTTTCCATTTGATGTTCGTGGATGACACTTCTGTTTTTTGTGATGCGGACGTGCTTCAAATGAGATATCTGAGATGCATTTTGATTTGGTTTCAAGCTGTCTCTGGCTTGAAGGTGAACGTGGGAAGAGTATTATGGTTCCGGTTGGGGAGGTTCCTGAGATTTCCACCTTGCTTGACATTCTTGGGCGTAGCATTGGCTCTTTCCCAATTTTGTATTTGGTGTTGCCTTTAAGGGAGAGTTGGAGGGTGGGATCCCGTGGTGGAGATGTTGAGAAGAGGTTGGTAAGATGGAAGAAGCAACATCTTTCGAAAGGTGGGAGGGTCACATTGTCGAGACTCCCTACCTATTTCTTGTTTCTCTTCTGGATTCCCTCTTCTGTGACTGAGAGGATTGAGAGGCTGCAGCGGAACTTCCTTTGGGGTGGGATGGGGGAGGAGTTCAAGTATCATCTGGTTTGCTGGGAGTAGGATTGTAGCCCGATTTGGATGGGAGGGTTGGGTATCAAAAGACTAGAGCCTTTTAATAAGGCCTTTTGGGGAAATGGTTATGGAAATTTGGTATGGAGAGGCACAGAATTTGGAGGAGGGTGATTGCTAGCAGATTCTAGGAGGCGAGAGGAGGATGGTTCTCCCTTGAGGTGAGTATCCCAGGCGGAGTTGGTGTTTGACTACTATTGGCTTGATAACGAGAGAAGGATTTGGGATGTCTGTTTTTTTGAGGCATTTTCAAGGTTGGCAGATTGAGGATGCTATTGGCTTTTTGGAGGAGTTGTATCACCAGGAGATTGTGGGTGGAGATCCTGACTCTTGGGTGTGTGTTCCCTCTCTCCAAGATCGCTTTGATTATTGGTCTTTTTATAGGTGTATTTCGGATGTTCTGGGGATTCTTTCACATGGAAGGCTATTTGGCTTACTAAGGCTCCACTCAATGTGTCTTCTTTTGCTTGGACTTCTGTGTTGGAAAAGATTCTGACTCAGGAAGACACATAGGTTGTGGTCTATTGGTGTTGCATTTGTTAGAGAGATGAGGAAACGGTTGATCACCTTCTTTTGCATTGTAGTTGCAACTCGCAAGGGACAATTGGGTCTTGTTATTCGGTTTGGGGTCCAATGGGTTATGCCCAGGTCCTCAAGAAGTTTGGTTGAGGCTTGGAGAGATTTTATAGTGGGGGCCCAACCCTATGATTGTTGGAGGGTAGCGCTTCTGTGCGTCTAGTGGTGTTTATGGCTCAAAAGAAATAGGAGATCCTTCGAAGGAAAGGAGACTCCTATTGGTGCGCTGAAGTTCTCCATTATTAGCACCACTTTTTGTTGGGTTCACGGGAGAAATTGTAAATCCATGGAGGAGATAGTTGATATTTTGGACTCGAGAGTTTAAAGGCCGTATTTGGCCTTGTGTAGCTTTTGAGGGATGAGTTACCTTTTTGAATGCCTTTTTATTACAATCTTACTTATAACCAAAAAAAAAAAAGGCCCTTGTGTTTATGGTGGTGTATGTGGAGGGAGCGGAATAATAGATCCTTTGAAGGAAAGGAATCCTCGATTGCTTTTCTTACGTCAGCTTTTATTACATCTTTTATGTTTTTGGGGTTCGGGTAGGCTTTGTTCCTCCCCGGAGGAGATGATTGATTTTATTTCTTCTTTGGGACCATAGGATCCCTTTGTTGTTTTTGGGACATGTTCCCGTTCTGAACGTTTTTTTTAAATGAATTTGCTTAATTATCAAAAAAATAAAAAAAATTAAAAAAAAGGGCCTGTTTGATGCCATGACTTCCAACTAATGAGAACTGCTATTATGGAGGATTGTAATAATAAATACAAGTGAAAACTTATAAATGTAAATGCATATTGGGGTAGTTATTTTTACTGCTGTTGTTTCTACGAGTAGTACATCTTTCAAGCATAATTTGACTGATATGTATGATATACTGTTTACATTTTTTTTTTTCCTTAAACATTTGAAATTTGCAGATAAATATCAGTTGACATCTACGTGTGGGTGTTTGAAGAGTGATAATTGGACTTGAGCTCTTTTCCAGTGATGAAGATGTATGTTCTTGCTCTCTTAAATGCTTAGTTTCTATTAATCATAGTTGATAATAATATGTTTCTTTTTATTTTTTAAATTATTTAGTTTGTAATAGCAAGTTGATCTTCTGCAACTTCTTTTCTTGTTTATTGGGGTAGTATGGCTATGTTACTATTTCCAGATTTAAATGTCATAAAATAGATCAATAGTTTTTTATTCTTATGGTGAATATATATTTATTTTTATTGGATGTCTTGCAGACTGAATGCCAACAGTCGTGTACTCACCAACTTTGAAGTGCTTGATTTTCTTCGATCTAGAGGAGCTGTAAAGGACACACAGGCTATTGCTTCCATAGCACCATCTGAGTTAAAGGTTGGATATTTTTATCTTTGAGACATTTTTTGTTTTATTTTTAAAATGAACTATTTTAAAAGTAATGAAATTTTTTGCGTGACTGATTATCTTTGTTGTGTGGCGCAAGTGGAATCTCGTAAGGATTCAGTGTATTCAAACTAGACCTAGAGAGGTGTTGAATAGTCTTTCAATTACTTTCACTAGCAATTATGAATTTAAATAATTATGACCAATTTGTAAGTTTACTAGTCAGTTGCACATTTAGCGACATAAATGGAAGTCCCACACGGGAAAAATCAAGGAGATTTCTATCGCAGGCAAGTCGATCCATTTAAGCAAGATAAAGTACACCAATACTCCCGAGTTCAGATTACAGTCCCTTCAGAATCACATATTCTTGATATACATCATAGTATAACATTCATAGCCAGTCGAGACTCCAGTGTCTTCGAAATCATTGGCCTGCTTCCCAAGTCAACCACAATCACTCCCTAGCGACATGCTTCTCTCCTTTAGTGATTGATTATAGTCAACAGAGCATGGTTTCCACTAAATTAATGCTTGATTATATGCTTGTATGCTATGTGAATTCTTTTTTTCCTCCTATATTTGGTGAATGAAACACGCACGCACACACAAAATGCTCAAAAGCCTTCTAATTTAACTAGGAAAGTCATGCCCAAGAAATCAAGTTTTTGGATTGCGTTTGGAGTAGAATTCTGATTTAAATTTGAACAGCTTCTATCAGTAGAAGTCCAGAATGTATCGGTAGAAGACCTAAGTGTCTCAACTGGTAGGAAATCTAATGTCTCAACTAGTAAGAAATCTAAAATGAAATGGTTCACAATGGAAAGGAATGTATATGTAGGAACACAAAATGTACTTAGATTATTGAAAGTTAGATTCTAATTCCATTTTGAATCCATAGTTATGTTATAGCTCTTATCGAAAGGATTATCCTAAGCAAAACTGTATTGGTCCGCAACAAGAATTTACCTACTGATTTTGAATCCGTAGTTATGTTATAGCTCTTCTCGAAAGGATCACGGGACCGTCCTCTAGCTTGCACTTGTCCAAGGTTCTTCAGGATTGCGACGGATTAAACAAACCATAATTGTCGACTACTATTGTCTTGGTAGCGGAGGGTTGACATAGGACGTTCAGCTTGTGAGGCAATTCCAGGATTGGGAGTTGGAGGACATCTACGAGCTTTTGGCAGTGCTTTATCGCCGGAAGAGGGAGGGGGATGAGTGGTTATTGGTTCCCTCTTCTCAGGGGAGATTCAGGGTGCGCCCCTTCTATACGAGACTGGTGAGCACTCAGACTCTTCCTTTTCCATGAAAGTCCGTGTGGTGCGCGAAGGCAACCTTGAAGGTGGATTTTTTTGCTTGGATAGTTGTCTTGGGTCAGATTCTTATGATGGACAACCTGAGGAGGAGGGGACTGATTATAGTGAACCGGTGCTACATGTACAAGAGGGATGACAAGACTGTGGATCATCTCCTTCTTCATTGCTTGGTGGCTTGAGATTGTTGGGATATGTTCCCAGGCCTTTTCAGGGTTTAGTGGGTTATGCCTGCTTCTGCGAGGAGTGCTCTTAAGGCTTGTAGAAGTTGCGTAGTGGGAGCTCAGGCTAGAGATACTTGGAAGTTGTGCCCTTGTTTTTTTGTTGTCCTTATAGAGGGAAAGAAATAGGAAGTCCTTTGAGGTAGAGGAAACTCTTATTGGTGTGCTTAGGTTCTCTAGTCTTCACACTTCATTATTTGTAAATCTATAGGGGAGATGCTGGATTTTTTTGGATACTTTGAGTGTTTAGGGGCCCTGTTTGGTAGCCGTGTAGTTTTTGGGATGCGTTCCCCTTTTGAGTGCTGTTTATAATACTCTACTTACCAAAAAAAGAAAACACTTGTATGCGTGCCTAGGACTGTGTGACCTAATATGAGTAACCAAACTGTTCATTATTCACTTGCCTCTTTTGGTCTTCAACAAGATGATGCTCATCTTCTTTTGATATCTTTGACTCACTTTGATGTGTAGACATTAAGGAACAAAAAGAAAGTACAACAGAAGTATTTTTATATAATTTTGTGAACTCTAAGACTATGTTCTAACATTTTTTTTGTCAGGTTTATAATTATTTGGAGAATAGTGCTGCTTGCAGTCAAACAAGAGAGAGCATCAAGGAGTTCTTGGAAAAGCGCAAAAAGTACGGCCTCAAAATGGTTGAGACTATAAGTATCATCAACTCTAGGCCATCTTCGGTCGTCGAAATTGACCCGGTAACTCTTTCAGAGCGCTATTGAAGCTCACTTAATGTACTTTTAAACTTGTTTTCTTGTAGAGATCTCTTTATGTCCAAGAATCCTGCCTATATATATATGCCTCCTAGTAATTGCTCCACATTAGCCAATATATTTTCCTAAGAAGCACGGACACTCCAAAATGGGCGAAGAATCCGTGTCCGACACGTGTCGGACACGGACACGCGTCGGACACGCCCCGACACGTGTCGGACACGCCAAAAAACGTGTCTGGAATTTTTTTATTTTTTTTAATTTTCGGACACGGCTTGGACACGGCTCGGACACGGCTTGGACACGGCTCAGACAGCTCGGCCACGGCTCAGACACGGCTCGGACACACTTTTCTGGATTTTTTTTTTTTTTTTTTTAAATTTTTAATGCTGATATGTTAATTTTTTTTTTTTTTTTTTAAAATTTTTAATGCTGATATACTATTCGCCGTGTTCGTGTCCTAATTTTTTTGGATTTGCCGTGTCGCCGTGTCCGTGTCGTGTCGTATCCGTGTCCCATATCCGTGTCCATGCTTCTTAGATATTTTCTCATCCATATGTGCAATGAGTTTTGTGCGAAATGATTGTCAAATCTGTAGCTTGGAAGGCTATTGCTTCTTTTGAGATGCAAGAATCTACAACCACAACTTCCATAGGAAAATGTTGCACCTTTTTATTTATTTTTTGTTCCTTTTTAATATATTTCTCCATTTCTTTTTAAAGTGGTGAAGTCATGTTTAATTCTATCAGCAGTTGTATATGGAATCCTATGACTGGATGCCTTTGCTCAACTGAATGGAGCTCGAGAGCGTTTTACTTGAAGATAGAGATTGGTTGGAAAGGCCCTTCGGTGAAGATAGGTTGAGACGGCTTTGAGGAGTTGCAATGGTGATAAGGTCCCGGCATTGAAACACACGTTGGACCAAAAGAATCCCAGGTGAGGGGACGTGTTGAAGGATTTAAATATTTAAGTTACACCCTCTCTAACAGCTTAAGCTTTTAGAGTAGATGGTTGTTAACAATATGAAAGTTTATGGTCAAAGTCCTTGCATTACCGTTGAGAAGAGTGATTGATGGTGTGATCTCGGACTCTTAAAATGCTTTTGTTGGTGGGCCATTAATTTTGGATTGGGTTTTGATTGCTAGTGAGTGCTAGAATGCAAAATTGGTAGTGGGGTGCTAGGAACAATTTGCAAACTGGATTGAGAAGGCTTATATGACCATGTGAATTGGAGTTATTTATTTATTTTTTTTCCTGGGTAAAGTGGAAAAATATATAGATATGAACAAAACCGTACATGGAGAAACTAGGGCATGCCCTTGAAAAAACAGACAAAACAAAGTCCCAAGCACAGCGAAGGACTCAAAAGAAAAGAAGCAAAAGCAACCTCAAAGCTGAAGCAGACAAAACACTGGCACAACACATTAAAACACTAGGCAGTGATACCAAAGTAGCACTAACTGACCTGGGCTGCAGCACCACAGCCACTCAACAACAGCTAAAGAACAAACCAGATGCACACCAGACTCTTGTTGGAGAAGCAGAAGAGAAGAAGATCAATTGATCTGCATAAACAGCTGGCAACAGCAACAACAACAACTACAAAACATTTGCAATGGACATATTAGCTAACTCCAAGACTTCCCACCACACAAACCTAGCAACATCCAGTGGATCCCTGGACTTTTGGTGATGCAACCTTCTGTGACTCTCACACCAAATTTGCCTAACAACAGTTGCAAAGATCCTTCTCTGAGCTCTCTGTGTCATTTTCTTCCTGACAAACCATTGCACCAATGGAGAAAGAAAGTCACTCGGGAAAGAAAAAAAACAGAGTCAAAACACATGCAAATTCCAGCCCCAAAGGTTATAGAACTACCTCCATATGGACACAGCAAAGGGACAAGAAACAAAAAGGTGATGATCTAAGTCATCACAGGCACACCAGCAGTGTGTGGCAAATTGAAGTAAGTTGAAGCCCCCACAGCCACTCAACAACAGCTAAAGAACAAACCAGATGCACACCAGACTCTTGTTGGAGAAGCAGAAGAGAAGAAGATTAATTGATCTGCATAAACAGCTGGCAACAGCAACAACAATAACTACAAAACATTTGCAATGGACATATTAGCTAACTCCAAGACTTCCCACCACACAAACCTAGCAACATCCAGTGGATCCCTGGACTTTTGGTGATGCAACCGTCTGTGACTCTCACACCAAATATGCCAAACAACAGTTACAAAGATCCTTCTCTGAGCTCTCTGTGTCATTTCTTCCTGACAAACCATTGCACCAATGAATGGAGAAAGAGAGTCACTCAGGAAATAAAAAAAACAGAGTCAAAACACATGCAAATTCCAGCCCCAAAGGTTATAGAACCACCTCCATATGGACACAGCAAAGGGACAAGAAACAAAAAGGTGATGATCTAAGTCGTCACAGGCACACCAGCAGTGTGTGGCAAATTGAAGTAAGTTGAAGCCCTCTTATTCTCAAATTCTCAAGGGACAATAGTCTGTTGTGGATAGCAAGACAGCTACCGCCGGTTAACAGGGGTGCTTAGTCTTGCTGACCAAACACTTTTGAAGGTAAAAATACCCTGTTTCCAAAGAAAAGAATCAGTTCCACCATGGATGGGGACAGTGTATAGAAAATTCACCATGTTATAGTAGGTGAAGGCTTATGTGACCATGTGAATTAGAGGTTTTTTTGTGTATATTTGGAGAGGATGGGTTTGGCGAGAAATGGAGGAGGTGGATTCCTTTTTGCATTTCCATGGTGAAATTTTCAGTTTAAACGAATGGTCTTTAATAAGATTTTTCTCGAACTCTCGAGGATTTAGTTAGGGTGATCTCTTATCTTTATTTATTTATTTTTTCCTTTGTGATGGAGGCTTTTAGTAGATTGATTAGAAGGCCTGATGTGATAGGTTATATTAGAGGGATTTTTTTTTTTTTTTTTCATAATTGGTGTCGTATTAGCAAAGGATCAAGAATTAGAGGTGCACAGAGGGCATACCCTCAGGATAAAAAGAAATGGCTATACAGCATGCTATTGAAAAAACCCATTTCCTGTACAACCCAAAAATCAGAATAGAAGCAAAGTTACAGTAAGTCATGGAGTGAGGCATTATGCACATCACTTCAAAAAGTAATTTGGAAAAATTGGCGTACTCAATTTGAGAGCCTGACTATCATTATATATGAGAGGAAAATTACAAATATGGAAAGAGAATAAAGGTCAAATCAGAATAAAAATCAAATCCCTAAACAAAAGTCTAAACATTAGTTTATAATGAAGACCCAATAAATCTGCCACAATTATCGAGTCAACTTATAGATATGATTTCCAACACTCCCCCTCAAGCTGGAGCAAATATGTTGACCAAGCCTAGCTTGACTATGGAAGACTGGAAAAGAGAAGGCCCAACAGAATTTGTGAATACATATGCAGTCTGTTCTGAAGAGGGAACAAAAATAGGATTAATGATACTTGATCGAACCTTCTCTCGAATGAAGTGAATGTCTACCTCAATATGTTTCGACCTTTCATGTAAGACAAACTTGGAAGCAAGCATAATGGCTGATTTATTGTCACAAAACAGTCTTGAAAAACCTTTCTCTACAAGACCTAACTCTTCCAAAATTGATTGAAGCCAGAGGAGCTCACAAGTACCTTGGGCCATAGCTCGGTATTCAGCTTCGACAGAGGATCTGGAGACAACAACTTGCTTCTTACTCTTCCATGATATGAGATGATTACCATAAAAAGTATAGAAGCCAAAGGTAGAACGTCTATCTGTCTTACATCCAGCATAGTTTGCATCAGTAAAGCATGAGAGTCTAGACTGATTTCCTGAGGCATAGAACAAACCAAGGCCAGGGCACGACTTAAGATACCTCAAAATATGGTAGACTGCATCCATATGAGCTGAACGAGGGGCATGCATGAATTGACTAACCACACTAACAACAAATGTCAAATAGGGCCTTATGTTAGTCAAGTAGATAAGATGACCTACCAAACGTTGATACATGGATGGATCTGGAAGTAATTCCCCTGATTCAACAGAGAGTTTGAGATTGGGGTCCATAGGAGTGGGAGCGGGTCGACACCCAAGCATGCATGCCAGTATCTTGAAGAAGATCCAAAACATATTTCCTTTGAGATAAGGAAATTCCACGACGGGATCTAGCAACCTCAATTCCAAGAAAATATCGAAGGGGACCTAAGTCCTTCACGTCAAAGGACTTTTGAAAATGAAGTTTCGCCTGAGCAATCCCTAAAACATCATCACATGTGATAATTATATCATCCACATATGCTAATAACATAATGCAGTGACGATCATAGCGACGTCAAATAAAGCAAGTATGGTCTGAGTGGCAGCGCACAAAGCCCATGGATAGAACATCGCTGAAACGACTAAACCAAGTTCTAGGAGATTGCTTCAGACCATAAAGAGACTTCCGCAGCCGACAGACTTTCCCAGCATACTCCCCCTCAGCCCGAAATCCAGGGGGTGGATCCATATATATAGTCTCAAGTAAGTCTCCATTAAGAAATGCATTCTTGACATCTAACTGATGCAAAGGCCAAGAATGGGCAGCAGACAAGGAGATAAGCAGTCGCACAGACGTCAATTTTGCCATAGGAGCAAAGGTAGCACCAAAGTCTTTGCCCTGAATCTGAGTAAAGCCTTTTGCCACCAACCGAGCCTTATACCGATCAATAGAACCATCGACTAAGTACTTCACAATAAAGACTCATTTACAGCCAACCGTTTTCTCCCCAGCAGGTAAAGCAACAAGTTCCTATGTATTATTACGCTGTAAAGCATCCATTTCTGTTGTCATGGCAGACACTCAATTGGGATCCTGGAAGGCCTCTGACATTGGTCGAGGAATAGAAACGGTCCCAATCTTGTCCAGGAAGGATTTATATACACCTGAAGACCATCATAGGAGACATACTGGAAAATA